TGCAAAATTCGAACTTTCCTGACTACTAGACATTAGATAGGTGGTACAAAGGAATGCGCCACTCTCTGAATCCAGGGACTCTAGAACGTGGTAGAGTCCCTAAATACAGAGAGAAATGCAGTCCATTGTTTCATCCATCCCGCTGTTTTATATCCAGTTGTCAGAAGAATTGGAAATGTGTGGTATTTTGTGAGTGAAGAACTATGAATCCATGCCAAACTAATAATAATATTCTTGAAAATCTCCATAATATCACCAACTGTTACAATTTCCCTGTCCCTTGAGCTCCTGATTGCCGCCTGACGGAGCTATCGGGAGAGAGGATATTAACCGGCGGCGGTTGCGCCACTCTGAGTCTATGGCCTCGTGGTTGGAGGGTGTGCGCGGCGCGACCTGGTGAGCGGTGACGTACCTGGCGCGGCGCTCAGTTGATGCGGCCCTTGTGAGTGAGGAAGGCGTTGCGGTCGAGGGCGCGCGGGTCGGTGGCGTCCACGGCCTTGGCGCCGCGCAGCCGGCAGCACAGCCCCGCCAGCGCGAGCGTCAGCACGCCCAGCAGCGCGCAGCCCAGGCCTGCGCACGCGAGACGCGCAGCGCGGCTTTAGATCCACGCCCAACACCGAACGCAAGGACGTTCCGACGAAGGTGGCTCAGTCGTAGGCTTCCGCGGCCAGAGGCATGTGGCTGATCTGGGCTGTCCGGGTGACGCCGCCTCGAAGGCTGTGTTGCCGACGTTTCGACCACCCTGTCGTGGTCTTCCTCGCGGTCTTATCGCATACCAGCCCTGAGGAAGACCACGGCAGGATGGTCGAAACGTCGGCAACAGAACCTTCGACGCGGCGTCACCCGGACAGCCCAGATCAGCCGAAGGTGGCTCAGGGCATCAATTAATGATGCTGCAGTGCATCTGACCCGGAGGTTCTAGGTTTCGAGTCCCGACGGTGGTAGGAGTTTCGACACTTCCTACTTAACTAGGTCGCTAGTCAGGCCGCATGCCGGAGCGGTACTCTTACAAGAAGGCCACGGACCCCGTGCGATCTTTCCTTCCTTGTCCTATTCTCACCCCTTACTTACACACAAACTCACATGCATTACACTACCACAGATGTGTATGCCGGGAGACCAGTCGGAAGCTTACAGCTTGTCCCGGTTAAGGTGATACCCCGCTGGTGGGAGATCCCTGCGTAGGGAAAACCGTATAAGCCGACGGGTAGTTCGGCGCTGGATATCACCATCCAGCGGGAGAAGATCACCGCCACCTCTCGCGAAAAAATGCTCTACTTAGGGGACTATCGACCTTAGCAGTTGATACCCCTGGAATCACTAATCAGTCAATCAAACACAAGGAAATAGGCGCGAAAGTGGGCCTAACACAGCGGGCTTGGCAACAGTGGGCTTCTGGCTTAAAGCGAGAACTAAATTTAGGTCTAGCTTCCTGGACAACACACATATGGGCTGCAGTCGCAATTAATGACACATATTCAAATTAAGTGACGATTAATGTGAACGGACTTCACTAAACGAACGGCTTTGCCAGGGTTAAGCTCTTTTGCCGTTTCTTGACATAGGTTCATTAGATTTCCATGTATATGAATAACTTACAAGTTCTTTAGAATGCAGTAGAACTCCGCGATGAAAAGGTTGAGCTAAGGCTACTGGTCCATCGAACTGCGCGTAAAGTTTGTCGCGAACTGCTATCGCGCCAAATCGTGGTGCTGATTTTATTCAGTAGTTCAGTCAACTTTTATAATTCGTTACTTTCAGGCTATTAAAACCTGTAAGTTTATTAATATATTGTAGTGATAATTATTGTACTGAACTTAACGATAGCGCATTGTGAGGAGAAACGTATCCTGAAAACTCATTTTTTATCCCAGTCAGTTTATTTTCTTATACACTATATGCATGAAGGAGAACATACCTAGTTTATTTTTTTGATTTTTAAGTCTTCTACATGTCCCTCATGTAATGAATTTAAAATTTGACGCAACTTAGCCCAGAATGCCAGTTTTTTATTACCCAAAGATTCACTGACGGCTGCTTCTTATGACTTCTACAATCAGTCCTCTGCGTTTGTGCACTTTTATCAGAAAAACACTGTAGTATGAGAAGTTCGTATTACATAAATAAATGAAGAAGAATAAAAAAGCGGAGTCGGAGTAGGCACGCCAGTGGTTACTGATGCAATTGCACTCACCTGCGAGAGCAGCGAAGGCTCCGGCGCGCATGCACACGTTCCCAGGCTCCGCCAACGCGCCTGCAACAACACCAGGATTCCAGGGTAACGGCGCGCGCTCACAGTGACCACGAACTTTTTGTTTCTTAAGATTCACGAATCTCCTAATCCCCTTACATTACCTACAAATCCTACAGATCATTTTCACTTCGAATAAAAAAACTCACAACTCAAAAATTTAGGATTTTGTGGTTATGACATTGTCTTGAGAATCATTATATTCTACAAGAGAAGAAATTTTGATGTTAAATTCCCATAGCGTACGCCAGAGCACATTAGGGTCTCTTTTTTCGGTGCATTTGTTTCAGAAGAAAGGCAAATCAGATGTGAGCTATTGTATTCGTGTGATTAGTCGTTTATTTGGCGCATACGCGTTCTTCCGCGGTAAGATATTTCATGTACCTGCCAAACCCGAGAGTAAGATGGGTTGCCTACCGATCAGGGGCAAATTTCACAGGTTTAACTTCTTTATATGAAATTTCCCACTACATGACAATTGGCCAAAAGAGATCTTTGACCCATCTAGATGCGCTAGAAGCTCTTAACATTAATTCTGAATGTTGTCTGGTTCTTGAATCTGGGTCAATAAAAGCAGCTACTTGACATTGCCGACGACATCAGCCATTTGTTCAGATTTATCAGGGCTACCAAAATATATATTTTTATTGGGAGTATGTAAGGAGACAATTTTTATAGTCGTTGACAACTAATGTTCACATTTGAACAGGCTTACCTTTAACATTAGTTGCCTATGATTGTAAATGGTCTCCTTACATCATATTATTATTATTATTATGGTTATTATTATTATTATGGTTATTATTATTGTTATGGTTATTATTATTGTTATGGTTATTACTATTATTATTATTATTATTATTATTATTATTATTATTATTTGTTGTAGCCTTCATGAAGGCCGAATAAATGAACGAAACGTCGGCAATGTAAAGTAGTTGTTTTTATTGCCCTAAACTCTAGAACTACGCAGTATATACGTACAATTCCAACGGGTCAAGAATCACTTGGTGTATTCATTTTGACCTAAATATGCAGAGAGGATTACGTGTCGGTTTAAAAGAATAGGAGACAATCGCGGTGCCAGTGGGGGTACTCACGATCCCCGCGCGCGGCGTGCGGCGCGTCCTCGCTGCTCTCGCCCTCCTGCAGCACGCGCAGCGCCTGGAACAGGCTGACGTTCTCGGAGCGCAGCGCGGCGTTGGCCGCCTCGGTGTCCGTGCCCGGCGCCGCGTCCGCCGAGCGCCGCGCCACCGCCTTCGCGTTGCGCCAGTGGCAGGGCTGCGTCTGCGCAACACACCCACGTCCGTCAGTGACACACACACACAAGCAAACAAAAAGAGCTGCGCCATAATTTGGTGGTTTGCATTGCGGTGGTTCGTCAGTCCGTTATCCGAAATTCACTTCCCTGACATTCAATTGTCATTTGGTTAACCGTCACTACTGACTAACAATGTGACTGACATGTTCTTATATCGACAATATTTGCGTGTGCTAAACTTAATATTACAATGCGTATTTGAACCATATTTAGTCCACGAAAGTTATTAATATACAAATGAAATTCTTAATGATTGTTTTATTTTAACTATCTACTTGCAATCAGTTTACCACTATTTTTTACTATCCTATTTCCCTCCTTTGACCAAATTCAAGTTCTGATCAACGACACTACTGTTCTATTGGAAAAATACCGGAAAATATCGTTTCTTTGGAATTGTGTTTTGCGAATCCAGCGGAGCAGGTCTGATAACTTTGATTTCAACCCAGATTCTTTTTAACCCGCATATTTATTACATTTATGTGTTTATGTAGACATATAATTTTATTTTATGAAGATTACGAGAATAACTTTGTACCAATCTACCCCGATAACATTTTTAGCAGAGATGAATATACAAAAAATTACGTGCCTTTTTGTGTTCTTTTTTCAATTAAAAAAATAAAAATAACATATTTTTTAGTTAGGTTACTTGAGCACGTGCATTTGTATGTGTTTAGATCAGATTCATTTCCTTATTTATTATAATTCTACTTCGCTATCACTTACGTAATTTTATTTCTTACTCACTTACGTAATCTCTTTTCTTTTGATCTAATCTGTTTTGACTATAAGCACATACTACATCCCCCCCTACATCCTACACACTATTTATTCTTCTTTAATTATCCATTCTGTAAAACCCTCCTTTTCTACTTCAGTCCTCTCCAGCTCCAAACTGCCTTATATTTTGTTACCCTTTCGTCTAAACATTCTTTCATCCACTGTTACGGTACGCCTTTTTCTCCAAGTACCCTTTTAATTTCTCTAACAAGTTGTGATCCTGTTATCTCCTACCTTTCTTTCTCGCATAGTTCTTTAGGATTAGTCCCTAGGTTTCTCCCTCCTCTCCACAGAACCTGGATATTTTCTTGTCTTCTTTTAGACAAAAATATATTTTACCCTTGACATCTTTCCCAAGTCTAAATAGTCATCATATTTCCGTAAACATCATTTTTCTTTTTTCTCCAACAGGCATTTACTATCACAATTTAAAGTATTCAATTGAAAAATATATTTAAATATATTTTATAACGATCATCTTATGAAAATATTCATTGTAATAGTTAATGTTCAAGTGTACGTTCCACTGATAAATTGGGAACGAATCATTTGAAGACAAGACAAGATTTGGTTATTGTTCTGGAGGCTACTGATCTTAGTGCGGTACCCTCGCGTGTGTGGGGAGGCGCGGGGGCGGGTACTCACCGGGCAGCGGCCGTGGCACATCCGCACGTCGCACTCGATGTAGAGCGCGGGCGAGCCGGTGAAGCGGAACGTCTTGAGGTAGGCGAACACCTGCGTCTCGAAGACGCCGCCCTCCGACCACGAGCCTCGGAAGCGCGAGATGAGCTTGTCGTCCACGGGGCACCTGCGGGGCACACCGCACGGCACTTGGATGGCTTTCTCTTGGCCACGACTACCAGCACTTACAATCACACCCGTGAAATACACGTTCCAGTTGGGCTCTGCCTTCCCTGATCCACGGTTAAATGGAAGTGAAAAATTGGATGACGTTGTAAGTTTAAAATTCGATTGCGATTACAAATCATGGGCAAACAGTTACAGCAATTTAGAAACATTCATAATTACTACAGACCGTGTGAAGAAATGGCATTTATGTATACTGCCGACTTTGTGTGTTACTGCCATAGTAATCTGTTAGCGGTATAATTTGAATTGACAATATTGCACGTATTAATACGAACAATATTGCTGAACGTTCGTTTTTCATCTACTCCTCCCGACTACTCGTTCGGTTTTGTTTGTTGTGGAAGCGAACGCCTAAAACTAAATGTTCAGTTTTAAACGATATGGACGAATGAGTCAATAAACGAATAAAAATAAAACATTTAATGAATAAACAAACGAACAAATGAATGTCATGCCCGCAATCCGTAAGGCCATGTCCTGCTTCCGCACGAAGACGAGCTCCGACCACGAGTTGCTCTGCCCGCTTAAGATGCGGTGAAGGGCCCACCATCTCCTAAGCAGAATGTTCAACCTTCTTACCCACCTAACCTTATCGAAGCCGACGAGACAACACGTGCGGCTCACTGTGCCAGGAGTGTCACTATGACACTTCATAAGTCTGCTGACTTTTAAAAAATGGGGTGAAAGATGTCGGTATCGAAGCATACAAATCGGGCCCGCTTTGGGATACTGAGGGGTCAGAATAAATTTGAGTAGAGTTGAGTGGAGCACAGTTCATCGAATGCCGAGCAGCTGATGGGTATCACCAAGTAATGGAGGCCAGGTTTTTTCGGTTTTCAGTCTGGGCCTGTTTAAAGCTGGATCGAAAAATCCTGAGAGATACTGCGGGTGAAAAATGGGCAATGCGCAATGCGAATTTTGTGAAAGAAAAGAACACTGAAAGTGTTTGCCGGAGTGACTACCGGTCTAGATTCAGGGCTTTGTGGCCCCAAAAATGCTCGGGGCATCGCCAGGGCCTCTTCCTCCTTTTGCCTGCTTCTCTTTTTTTCCACGCGGGCCGACCGACACCACCTTCTTCACAATCTTCTGATCTTTTCAGAACTGTGCTTGAAGTGTTGCGCATGACCTTTCTTGCAACCCATATGCCTGCTGTTGGCCTGGACGGTGACCTTAGGTCCAAGACTATCTATTCCCCTGGACCCGTGATAGCATTCCCCTTAGGACCCGTCTACCTTCCCTGCGGACGTTAAGAAACTATCTCCGACCAGTCTGCAATGTAGAGTCCTATATTCGCATGTGTACATCCAAATCAATTCGATGCAGTTTTTCTTAACATAATTAACAAGTTTTTCTTAAGCCATATCAGAGCGTGTCTTATAACACAATGATTCAAAATACGAACTATCTGGAAGCTGCGATTGCCACCCCACGACCTGTTTCTCGCGATAGCTGGAGCCAGGCTGGGGCATACACGCGAAGTGTGAACGAGAAAAGGACTTCGTGGGTGCCTTAAGGCTTGTGGAGAAACAGTGGCGTGTAAGAACGAGGTATTCAAATTGCGCACTAAAAGGAAAACAAGAGTTTAACCCATATGTAAATTGCGGACCGACCCTGAGAAGGGCATAGGTAAATTGCAGACCCATTATCTCATTCTCTTCCGAGTAAAACTGGAGGGTGACTCTATTTTCGAAGAACATTTTCATAGCCATTAGTTTTAAAGCACAACTCTCTCTTACATTTTCCAGAGTTAAAACTGACATATTTCGTTCGAAATATGATTTGGTTAAAGTTTTTTTAATCAAATGTTTTTTTTAATTCATGGTTAAAATTTTCATTCAATTGAATTATTTGTTGATTAAACGAATTCTGCTTTTCCTTCTATTTTATATTCTTGCTTTTTCTCAGATAATATTGTATATCATTAAACTTGAAATTTGGACCCTCTTTTAGTGCCTTCTTTGCTTTTTATTTCGATGTAGGAGCGAGTCTGGAAGCCTCGAAAAAAAGCTGGACAGCCGTGCGGCGGCGGCGGTGGCCCCTCTAACGCGCTTACCTGTTCAATCAGGCCTCTTCCTTACCTGGGTTGGTTTGGTCCGCAATTTACTCGTAGAATTAGAAAGAAAGTTTCGCGGAAAAAATACAAGGGATTATTTGCAATTTACATACAGCCCTTAAGGACGGATTGAGCACTTGGCGGACGATGCGAATAGTACTGCCTTGCCGCTGTGATGATCTCTGCCAAAGCATTATCAGGTCTCGAAGACACAACATTCGGTTAGCGCACGTTTATCAGCGAATTCGACGAGGGTGAAGGCGATGACGACCAAGGCATTTGACGAAGACGGCGTGGGATCTCTTTTCGTTTAAATGTCTTAATCTCTTTCGTAGCAGCAGTTCTTGCTCTTCGTTAGCGCGCGAACGAGTAATGGGTTAATAACTAGTTGTTAATGTGTATAATTACTAATACAACAAATTGTTGTATTAGTAATTATTGTGTTAACTCGTGGTTGTAATATTTCTTGAATTTTCAAGTGATTTGCAATTTAGATTATATGATTACCTGAATATATTTTGAGAATTTGGTGTATTTGTTGCGTTTCAAAAAAGCTCAGATGGAGTGTTCATTTTGGAGTCAAATGTGTTCCTGAACATATCATAGTAAATTGCGTTGAATTCATTTAACAACTAAATTTCTCACAATTGGCTCTTGATGAAAAACAGCAAATTAAAAGAAATGGTAGATCGGCAGCTCTCATAAACTTAATTCAGAGCAGTCATTACGAAGACATGTATGCAGGATATCACGGAATAAATAATACAGATTCTAGAGCACGTAGATGGGTCGAAGATGATAACTTTATGCCAATGGGGAAGTTGCATTTGTGACATTTATCCATGATTGAAAGGCAATGCATAGGTATAGGCGAGTACACGAAATTTCTTTTCTTGCCTCAGAACGCGAGGTGCCGAAGACCAACCATGGTGATTTACACACCAATCAACATCAAATGTCCCGTGTGAAACTTGGTTATATATAATTTCCCACATGTTCATTGACAAAAATTGATCTTCTTTAAAATCCTCTACATGTCTTAGAAGTTTGTTACATTTATTCAGTCACGTGTATATGTACGTAATGTGTGGAGCGTAGGCAATTGTGAATGGGCGTATGCATATTTGAAAGAGTGGGTCGGGGAGAGGGATAGATAAGAGAGGTAAAGATAACGTTGCCTCTCCTAAAGGCAAGAATACGAACCGCAACTGTTTCCAAACTTATGATCACCCTACAGCTCCTTGGGCTATGACATGAATGTTGAACAAACGAATTATAAATGAATGAATTAATCCCAAATGCGGTCTTCGATGAGCGCGTCGCTGCGTGTGCAAACGCTTGCACGTGCGTGCGTTGTGGCTCACCCGTAATATCCTACGAACCGCCAGTATTCCTAAACTTACGCTCACCCTATGAGCTGTGACATGAGTAATGAACGAACGAATTTTAAATGATTGAATGAATGACTAATCGAATATGCGGCCTTGGATGAGCGCGTCGCTTGCACGTAAGTGCGTTGTGGCTCACCCGTATTATCCTACAGGCAAGCCTACGAGACGCCAGTATTCTTAACTTTACGCTCACCCTATGAGCTGTGACATGAGTGATGAGCGAACAAATTAAAAATGAATGAATGAATGAATGAATGACTAATCCACGATGCGGCCTTGGATGAGCGCGTCGCTGCGTGTGCGTGCTCACCCGTACTGGTCGATGAGCTGGATGCGCTTGGCGGCGCCGTTGTGGGCCACGCAGTCGCTCACCACGAGGTCGAAGCCGTCGTAGCGCGAGCGCATGTAGATGAGCAGGGTGAGCGGGTCGCCCACGCGCACGGGCCCGGCCACTCGCTGGCCCGCCGTGCCGTAGCCGTGCCGGATCTCCATGTAGCACTCGGGCGGCGACAGCGTGAACACCACCGGGTTGCCCGTCGCCACCCTGCGCGCACGGATACGACCGTCAGGGAGTTTGTTTACAATTCATTTAATATAGCGCTCCGCAGTGGAAAGCCGCTCCGCAGTGGACCCTTGCCGGTGAGAGTGCTTACAACAGAAATCATGTTGGGACGACAAGCTGTAACTTGTAGCAAAACAAAACAAAAGTAAATTGTGTACACTGAACAATCATAATTGATGATGTAAGTATAGTCTCCTTCACTTGTTTCAGTGATCTGTTTGCTACCAACACAAATGTAACTTTGTGTAACTAAACTTGTAATTCGAGGCACTGAATAGGGTCCGTGCAGAGAGACTTTCCTGGTGCACTCTACGTATATTGTGTGGGCAGTTGGTAACAAATGCGCCGTGAATTTTCTGTTGGCCTTTGTAAGTTTATTTTTTAGGAAAAATGAAAATATAATATTTTTTACATAAGTAGTACAGAAAGCATCTCTTTGGTGTGCGAATGAAATGTTGACGTGACGGCGACGATAGGAGACGAGGCTGGCATTTTGAAACAAGTACGTAAAAGATATTTTCATACGAGCTACGTTCATTTTTTTATTTAACAGCAATTCATGGAAACTTGCATGTGTATAGTATTGGGATAATTTGCAATATGCGACGCAGCAGGCATGTTGATTCATGTCACCCCAGTATTTTGTTTACTTTGCACTAAATTGTTTTATACTACCTTTGCGGTACACATTCAGGAAAATAACATTTTTCTATTAATAATCAAGTATGGTAAATACTAGTTTCTATGCAATAGTGCTGAAAACACTTGATTACTGAATTTGAAGTTTTTGGATAGCTCTAAGCCACTGCCAGTTCTTTCTGAGAAATAAGGTAAATCATTCAATCTGACGTCCCTCGCCATGGACTAACGGACAAATGGTTTTGTTTCATAGCGACATTTGTCACACCAATTTCCCCATATTAACACATGAATATGTATAACAAGTATAACTCGACGACATGTATAACACGAAGTGTAATTGATATGACAAGTACCTTAATAGGATTATCTTAATTTCGACGACAATGTTACAAAAAACTATCAAAAACGCAGAGCCCTTTATATTGTTCCCGATACATGCAAATTCTTTCTTTTTCAATTTCTTGATCTGCCCCTTATTTAAATATGATTATTATTTCAAATAATATTTTCCTCCTTGTTTGTTGCTTATTATGGTACACTAGAAAGTAACATACGGGGATCAGAATAGCCCTGCGCTATCTTTAATATTGCTTAAACATGCGCGACCCACTAGGGTTAATAGAGGGCCCAAGTTAACCCAATTCTTACCACGATGATAAATCACGAAAAAGTCCATAAGATGTAATGTATTACTTATGAAATACACACGCAATAATTCCAGCGTTAATTTTTAACATTCTGTAATTCGTAATTGTGAAGTAAACAACATTCTTATCCCTATTCATTGTGCATCGTGCGATAAATTGACACTTGTTTCCCACTTTCCCAGTCAAGAAATCGTATATCTGTGCGCTACCAGACTAGACAACAAATAGCGGCGGGAAGGGAAGAAAAAGAAAAAAAAGAAGAAAAAAAAACAACAACAACAGCGGAATCGAAACCATTGGAAGCGAGCAAGGCTGAGTGCGAGCGAGAGCGGTATCAGGCGCGCGCGTGTGAGTAGACGCGGCTCCTCCGTCCTCGTCTGCAGCCGGCAGGAAATGCGTCTGAATAATCGAAACGCGCCGATCAGGGAGTCCGCGTGAGCACGGGCGAGGGCGGGCGCGCGGGCGGGGCAGGGAACGCGGGCGCGTGGCGAAGGCGCGCGAAGACGCACGAAGGGCGACGGAGGGCCCCAGGCGCGCAGCGGCGCTGGAGCGGTGGCGGCTGCTGGCGGC